CATAAGGCCTATCTGGAAGGGGATGCTAAAGGCTTTCTGGGGTTTGGAAACCTCAAGCAGGCCTAGCGGAGCTCTTTGCCCTAAGCGACGCCAACAAGCGGATTGTGGTGATTTTGGCTCTGAGAGGTTTCTTGCCCTTAGGGTCCCTGGAACCGGGGGGCGTTCAGGGCCTACATTTGCCTTCGATATTTTCTGAAGCTCCATTTTAAAACAATCCAAGGTTCATGTTTCGATCGTTTTTCATGTTGAAGGCTGAGCAAGGTTGCAAGCAAGTTTTTGGATGTTTTGAATGTTTTTCTTCAAACCCCGTCCTCGAGCTGTATGATGTGCTCTACCCAAATCTGAACCTACCAGCCCATCAGAAAACCTTGCACGACGCTACGAAAGTTCTATAACTCCGATGCAATCCCGCAGCCCAAATCCTTAAAGCCCAAATCCAAATCTTGAGCCCGTAAGCCCCGCCCCACCCCCCAACGCTAAGCAAAACAGGGCGCAAGTCTTGAAGTTGCCCGTGGAGGTCCCCGACCTGGGTTCTTCATGGGTGACACACGCACACACACACTCACACACTCGAATGATTGGCCAAGCCAACAGTGAATACATCAGATATAATGCGAGCAAGTGTAGTCGGATAACAAGTTCAAACATGTGCATGTGCATATATCACTATAAATATGACAGTAAGTATAAATATAAGTATACATAATAATGTAAAGATAACAAACACTTAGACAGAAAGATAGATAGATAGACAGATAACTAGGAAAAACTTTCGGACAAAACTTCGCCAGCACAGCCGGAGCCCCAGTGCCCATTGGACATCTTTGTACTGTGTACTGCTCGTGCTGCTACGACGACGACGACTTCGGCTCGGGCTCCGACTCCTACCGCCGCTGCCGCGGCTAGTAGTAGTAGTAGTAGTAGTAGTAGTAGTAGTCGTGGTAGTAGTGATAGCGTGTGGGTTTGGTATCGATGATGCTCCCGACACCCCGAGATTGTTGATGTAAATCACGTAGATGTGTGCTCGAAGTACTTTGGCTCCAATCCCAACGGTCGCAATATCCCTGAGCAGTGCACAGCTTCCATACTCTGGCCTTCTGACTCCAGGGCTCTCGAGTGCAAAAGTCTTTGCAGCGGGAACTGGCTTGGCGTCTTCCACGTAAGACACCGAGAGCTCGAATGGCTTCGAGCTATGTCACTACGATGACCCATTCTTGAGCCATAGGGATACAATGCAGCGAAATTCAACACACCCTAGCACGCGGTCTGTGTGAAACAGTACCACGGCTCCCTTGAGGCTTGCATGGCAGCGCCAGCAAGGTGGAACACATAGCTCACATTATACGTTGGTTGGCAAGGTGGTCATCCGAATGGACAGTGCCTCGAGGTTCAATGCCTTCAGCATCCTTCATTGTTGTTCCTCGGGTCGTAGACATGCCTGATGACATGTCGTCCTCTAGTCAGCTGGTTGCATCACGATATCCGCCCTTTCCTGCACCACCACTTCCTTGGGATTGATCTCTTTGACGTTTTGCTGGATTTTGACCTCCGGCATTGGTTCATCTCAAGAAGCTGCAGGTGCAGCCGGTGGGTCAGGCATTGGCGTTTCCATGATGGAAGTTTGTCCAGGTGCAAGATAGGTGATGTGCGCGACGTGCCTGCGAGCTTGTAAGCTTTAAATATATCCCTATAGGCTTAGACCGCACAGCTGCAAGACAACCTAGACGCGCTTCAGAGTTTGGTTCCCACTGACCAAGCAAAATCCCCAACATCCGACGCACAAGAAGGAGACCGTCCCAACAACTTGAAAGAAGCACCAAGAACCTCGTGAACAATACGCCCGAAGACTGCAACCAGCATACCAACGACTCCACAACCCTGACCACCACCTCAAAAGCCGACCATCCAAGGGGCCACGACAACTCGGTTCGGAGAACTCGCGGATGCCTCCGGACCTGTCTTTTTCCGGCTGTAGAGCTTGGGGTTAACGGCCTTAGCTCCAGAGCCCAAAACAAGATCCCAACACCCAAACCCCCCGAAACCCCTGAGAACACGAAATCCTCACTTCTCGAGCCCCCGGTGCGCCTGATTTCTCCGACTCGTCTGGCACGCGGAGCTCGGCAACCGCCTCAATCACGCTTGGTATGACAATTGTGTAAGTGCAACGAGGAAGTCATCAACACAGCCGTAAGAAGAGTAAGTAGTTATAGCAGCAGTAGCAACGACCGTTCAGGACGACTTAGGGTGGGCTTCCCAGCCTGGACTTCAACACTGCCTGCATGCCTCAGACCGGGTTCTCAGAATTCTGAAGCCTTGGGGTATTCCCTGATGCCCCAAGGAAGAAAAAGCTCAAATCTTCAGGACGCCACAACATGGTAATGCACCGCGATTTTTGTAGAGGCCGTGTTTCGGAGAACCAGGAATGCAAAACGATGCTAACCCATCAACCCCGTCTAAGCCCTTATGACACTTCCGTATGAGTTTGGGGTTGGGTTTAGGATTTTGGGGTGCAGGGGTTCTGCAATCCGGCGAACAAAGTGGATGCCCTGTCTGAATCTGTGCCGAGACCTCGTGACGGCCGTAATATAGAAACTCTTCCGCGGCGAGCAACACCTGCGCAAGGTTTATGTATGTAGTGGTGCTGCAAAGCGGGTATTTTTGCTGGACGAATTTGAAGCTCGGGGTCTAGTTCAGAGATTTCCGACTGCCGCGGGTTAGGGTGGGCTCGATGCGCCCTAAACCGTGATCCTAAACGAAGAGAACTCCACGAACGCTAATGCAGTCGCCGCCCACGCATCAAAACGGCGCTCAAGCAAATCATGGCCCCAAACCCTCAAACAGGGTCTAGACTTTAAAGCTGAATTGTGCATCCAGTCCCATGGGCTCCGCAGTCATAAGCAGTTGTGGCGCTAGCCCCGAGATTGAAGGGCCTTTGTACCGTATTTTCAAGGGCCTGCGATTTCGGGCTGCTTTGGGGGTTTGAAACTAATTCTGCAATCTAGGGGGTTAGGCATCTTCGGTGAAGCTCCACTAAACCTCAGTCGCAGTCACAAATCAAGAGCCGAACGGAGCCTCAAAATGCATCAAAATCGAAACACGCAAAAGCTTAAAGAACTTATCTCAGTCTTGGTCCTGCAAGGGAATGTCTTTAGTGAGCCGGGCCCTTGAACCCTAACATCCTTGAGCCCCTCAGCTTGAACCCCCGCTCAACCAGAGAATGCCTGTACTTACCCCACAGCCCTCGCAACCTTAGCACTGCTCTTTGCCATCCTGGTCCCCCATTCTAGTCCTAAGCCCTAGACCCCTAACTCTCTGAACTCCTGCACCCTCAACCGCGAACGTCTGCACCCTGAATTCTAAAACACCCCATAACCCACATCCCTGCAACCCGAATCTGGGGATCGCCTGCTCGACCAGCTGGACATTCAGGGGGGTGCCCGGCGACTCGCAAAGACCGCGAAGGGTGTCCAGAAGTGCCTCTGACCCGAAAGCTTCTGCTTTTTCTCTTTGGGCTTTCAGGGCGGGATTCTGCAAAACGTCGAGTTTGGGGAATGGATGAAGTCCGGCATAAAGCTGGCAACACCCGCGGCAACTACAGGAACTACACGGCTCCGTCGAGTTTAGAATTTGAGGAAAACCCGGCATATAGCCGGCAAGCTATCACGCCCATAAAAGAGCTTTTGAGGTTGGCGACATGTCTCCCTTACGGGACCTTTTAGAAAAGAGCACGAAGGTTGTCTTTGGTTTATTGAAGGAAAAGAATCCCCCGGCCTTCTCTGAGAGTGGCTCGTGCACACCTTTTTGCCGCTCGCTCTGCGCGACCGGACCTGGCCAATCGAAGGAGGGTGGAAGCTACAGGGATCGGGCGGATAGGGCTCAGGGAGTGAAATTCCTGGGGCTCGAAGAACTTACTTGGGAGTCTCCGAAAATGGGGGACCCTAATATAGGACCCTGAATAGTAGGATCCTTATTTTTATAAGGACCCTCAAAATAGGGCACCCCCCATATTCGGAAACTCTTACTTCGGAGTTCAAGCGTCAGCGGCCTCTGGCTTCAGCAACGCCTTCCACCCCCAAAAAATCGGACCCAGAAAAGCCCCAGCTTTGCGAACCCAAAAGCCTGAAGCGCTAGACTCTACCCGGCCTTCCTCGTAGACCCTAAACCCTAAACTAGGACCCCGAAGCCCCTGCCGCCGAGTGGCCTAGCTTCACTTGCAGCTTCGAGCCGCTCTTGGTCCTCTCAACTCCGGCACCAAAGGGGCTCCAAAGCTGGAGGCTGAAATCTTGGGGGGGTGTACTTAAAGGATCATGGGA